GAGGAGAGTAGAAGAGTGCCAGCTCAGACAGGAAGCCTTTTACACTCTGTTTAGACAATGAGGGTGAGAGAGATATAAGTAAAGGAACCGGACAAGCTCTCCACATGTGARAGTAACCTCAAAGCAAATCAGACTTTGAAATTACCAGTAACAAAATTAATACATGTTACTRTCATACATTAAAYRGAAACTAGATGGAAAAAWTCATCCACCCATTTTACAGTCACATACACTGTAGTCTTGTTTTACTCTGAATAGCTCAAATGAAATTATTAACTCCATTATCAGGAACATATTGCAGCCTTTTGCACAGGCTCCAGCAAACATGCATTAGCATTATGATGCAAAGGTGATTGCATAGCACATATTTTATATCACTCAGCCTTTATACACTGAATATTCAAATATATCTGGTTTATTTGCAAAATTACTGTCTCCCATGTTTAAGATCTGGCTCCGACTTGCTTTGCAGAACACCTATGACTTCACACTAAACTCAGTGTACTACTATAACCTCTCTTGTTACAGATAAAAACATAATTCAGTTTTGAATCTAACATAAACAGGATCATTATGTTTAGAGAGTGTTCCAAAGCCTGCTATCCAAGCAATCTGTGGCATATAAATAATGCAAGACCTCTTCTTTCTCCAAATGACTTCAGTTCAAGCAGATACTCAGAAAGATGGAAGCCCAAATTTATACTGCCATTACAAAATTCAATCTATTTCTGGTTCTCCAATTGAATTATGACTCAGAGGCTTCCACTGTTTTCTGCACCAACCCACATGCTCCCAGTCTCTGCCAGCCCATGCAGAAAAGGATCCTATTTGTCAATATTCCTGAGCTTTATTATTATTATATTAAAATAGCAGCAAATCCCAGCTAATCTGAAAAGCTTCATGTTCTCTTTTAAAGGAAAGTAAGGTAGAAAATGGGTCTTATTTCCCCTCCCCCTCCCCGACCTCTGAACCACAACCTCCTTGCCACTAAAGSGTTGAACACCTCATTTAATCTCTCCTCGCTGCATTGGCACAGCACTGCGAAAGGAAAAGGGAAAAAAATAATCTGGGGACTTCATCAATTTTTCATGAATTTTCATTTAGGCCAAAGCCCCCTGTAACAGTGGTCGATAGATCAAGCTGCTGTCACATATTTAACACCTGGGGCTACAGCTGCTCTCCCTGGGGGCTGCTGCTGACTSCGGCTGGATCAGAGGCAGCCCCAGCCTGAGTGGGGACCCTCCMGCTCCTTCCCTTGCTCACATGTGGCGCCCCGGTGCTCCCAGCTGAAATCCTAGCTACAGTCACTACTGCAAATGTGTTTCCTGATATTCCCAGCAGAAAACTCCATTCAATTGGTGCATTGTGAAAAAAAATGTGCTTTTATTTTAAAAYTTCTAGCATTTGAACACCTGAGAAAATCTGAACATCAACATGTTTAATAACACCAACTCTTGATCAATTTCAATTAAAAAATTCGAGTAGACAAAATCAAAAGAAAGATGTTTTGCTCTTTTGGATACAATTCTTCATCGAGGTTAGAACATCTGTTTTTAATCATTTAACCACAAAACAAAAATCCTACATGAGAATTTGCCACAAAAACATTGGAAAACTGGTAGGATAGCATTATTTTTTTTCCTTCTGAGGACACTCCGACTGAAAAATCTGCATAAAGCACGCCATGAATTAATGTATCAAAAGAATAGAATTAGTCATATTAATCCTATACTGTGCCTTCAGATAACGACCTTTTCTTCCAAACAAAGACTATTTCTTCTTAAATGTCTTTTAGAATAGAGATATTCTAAATTAAAGGAAAAAAAAATTCTAAAAGCATATTCAGTATCTTAATGATGGRGTTTTTAAAATAATTTTCCAAATCACAATTCTTCACAGTTTTACTGGCATGAACAATTTTTTCTGAAGACACACCTCAGCACAAAAAAAACTGCCCTGGACTGTATGCAGTAGCTCTGAAGAGGCATGRGTTTAAAAGCATACCTTATGTGCCTTGGAGGGGCTGGTACCTAAATTCATCATTTGGGAAAAGTGCTAACTGTTACTCAACCAAGAAGAGCTCAGGGATTTCCGCAACTTGAAAAAACTCACTACAGAAAAATCAAGGGGCAAGAAGACTGCTCAAGATGGGTCACACTATGGTTTGAATTGCCCTGTGTCCCAGCTGAAATTTCAYTTCTCTCTTTACACATAACTGTGGATACATCAGAAGACTTTCGATCCCACTGCTTGTGTGGCAGGTACCCATGGAGCAAAAAAAAAGGTAAATAGGAGAAAATTAATTGCAATTAACTCTTTTATCATATTGATGCAAAAGCACAAACACATCTRACAGATATACAACCCCAATAAATATTTCTTCATAAATCATTCAAAAGTTGCAAAAGAGAACATAATTCACAACTGCCAACTTAATAAGCAAAGTAAAACAATTACAGATTCTAACTCTAAAACAGTGTACTCAAGCATTTTAAAGCTGTGAAACCCAGCAGTTTGTCTCTAATGGCACAATTTGAGGCCACCTACAGTCAGATAATAATCCAGAACTCTGTTGTCAGCAAAAGACAACCGTTCTTTTTCTCTAGTGATGAAAACAGCTTGGCTTAGTGTGGAAAGAGGAGTTTTCAACACCATGACAGGGAGCACGAGTCAGAGTGGATCACGTGTGGCCACCCCATGGACAGGGCTGCAGTATCAAAGCAACTCAACAGTTTTCCAGCAGGAGTTAAGAACAGGTGACTGGGKACTCACTGCTGACAACAGCCTGTCACCAGAAACTCATTTCCCRAGTGTGCAAACGGGCTGCTACAGACCTGCCTGTCTTCTTCAGCACAGAAATGCTGACATTGGATAAACAACTAGGAGCCTCGAAATAACTTGCCTGAAAGTCACTTGACAGTCTGATTTGGAACTAAAAATTATCYCAAAACCAAGCAGAAATATTCGCTACGATCTTCCAAAGGATGTCTTTGATTCCCACCAAACATTGCCACATGCTTTTAAAAAAAAATCACAGCAGAATCTCTAAAATTAAGTAAACAACTGATGTATATATTATTTACATTTTTCTTCTTTGATGAAGACYTTTCTGTAATCACAGCCATGATACTGTTCAAGGAAAGATAAAGCACTGTTTAAGTGAAATAGGAGAGTCTGTTTTAGGCTGCTAAACCCTTTAATTGAGGATTCAGGCATTTAAATTTGAAAGCTATGAAAACAGTAAAAGCACAATGTTATCGCAAAAACTTGCGCCATGATTTCAGATCTCAGGTTTCACATTCACATCATTCCTGCCCCAAAATACCTGACAAAAGAGCAAAGCTTCATTGTTTTTAGTTTTGTACTATCTCCCTACGACCTGCAACCAGCTACAGCGGTTGAACAAAATCCAGAGACAGGAGATGTAACAAGAGTCTCTCAGAAGTCAATGAAGTCAACATCAGTGAAAACTGATAAGATATAGAGAACATTTAAATTTCAAAATAATCAGTCACTTCAATTTGATGACTCAAGGTACAACTGGAACAATCCTTTGAATTTCAATAGGAGATCCTGAATCTCAAAAGGATTAAAATACAGATTTCAAGTGTTTATGCCTCTCTCTTAGGATTTCTCAACAGACAGTTAAAACACATATACAAAGACACAAATAATCCAGTAAAGTTATCCAGTCATACTCACCCAGATTTCAGCCTTCCTTAAACTGGTTTCTCCTCAACTCTCAAATAGCTAGCAAAACTGAGTAACTTTCTGTGATGCATTTACTGGCACATTTGTGCATTGATATTGTGCCAAAACTGTTTTCATTTTTGTTTGACACAGTTTTTAATCTAGGTGACAACAGGTAAAATGTAATGAACAAATCTGTTTTACTTGGCTTACTCCACCACTTACTTTTTTTTTTTTTTTTAAATGGCATCTTTTGCAATTTCTGACAAAACAGAAGCCTCAAGAACACATCACACTAGCTCTAAAAGTCTGAAGACTGCATTAGGAATAAAGACTTCTCTTCTGTGATTCCCCCCCTTTAAACATAYTATCTACTGTGGGCTTAAATCCACTCTTTACCAACAAAGAAATACGAGTTTGTTCTAAAGCCCTACTTCAAACACATTTTAGTGAAACTACTATCAGATGAAGAGCTGCAGGTGAAAAACTCAAGTCCAGCAACAAGAAAACACTCATAAATCTATTAAAACACAACTTTATGTCAAGATGCAAATTCTGAATTCAGTGTTGATTCAACCCATAAAATTAAGCAGCAAAAAACCATGTGCAACTGATTGTATTTTACGTCTGATGAGCTTGTTTGCTGTGTGAATATAGTAAATCTATCTGCGAACTCTACTGGAAGCAAACTACTCATGCCAGGTGGGCTCTGAAAAAGCCCTTTTGACTCCTCTGTTAAGACGAAGGGAATCGATAAAGAGCAAGACTGCTCTGGATGATATGAGAAATGGCCAACAATTTCACTTGCCATTCACATAATGAATGAGGCCTGGGTCAAGTTTATGATAGAGGAGCATATATTGAGGTTTCCAGCAGTACAGAACATGAGTCACCAAGATGCTGTCTGCTTCTGTTGAGGTAACAGATGATGAGATAAAGAGAAACAGACAGTGCACCTTAGATTAAATGATAGGTATTTTTCCACATTAGTTCCGGTATAACCAACTCTAGATGTAATTTAAAAATTAGATTATTCTTCAGAGGAAGATTATCCTTTGTCCATGTTTGTGCCAATCATGATTATACCCCGGCTAGAACCTCATTTCAGTATAAATCACCTTCTGTACGGTCACTGCTACTGAACAAGCACATGTTAAAATGCCTTGAAAAGAGCAACGGCTAATCWGAAAATTCTGTACTTATCCCAGTTTGTTATCTCCCAGACGCTGACCGTGTGCAAGTGTTGGGTGACAGCATAAAAGCCACCATAAAGTTTTACAGAATAYTAAACAGATAAAAAAACTACTCACATGCCACTTCCAGAGATGCATTGCGACTCACAGCTTCTCCAAGGTAGTTCCTTGCTACGCAAACGTAGCTCCCCTCATCGGGTTTACTCCTGCGCCCGTGCACGATGCGTAAGAAAAATAAAGATCCGCTGGGCAGCAGCATCCGGTGGGAGCGTGGATCATCCTTGTCCGTTTCCACCCGCTCTCCATCCTTGTACCACTCGATGGTGGGGGTTGGCCGTCCTTCAGCTTTACAGTTCAGAGTAGTTGGCTCTCCTTTAGACACGATCACATCTGAAGGGTGCTCAACAATCCGTGGTGGAAAGTCCTCTTGGCGGAGACGGGATCCTAAAGAAAAGGACGGAGGGAAGACAGAACAATTTATTTGTGCTTTAGGTGTCACAGAAAGCTCTCACAAGTTGATCTTTTAATGTCTCAAAAAATCCCCCCAAAAAACCCCAAAAACAAACACACAAAAATCTGAACATTTCTGAAATTGCTTTGTCTGATATCAGAGACTGTATCAGACACTCACCTACCTAAAACCCTGAGAAGGACTACAGATCTAACCCTTGATAGCATTATCAAACCTCTACAGACTGTGCTTAGAGGAGGATCCCTTACACATTCATGTATGACAACTTTTTTTTTTTTTTTGGCTGGTAATCTTCCTATTTACATTTGCTTCTAGATCACTGTGTGCTTCCAGATACCCCTCAACAGGAGGGCATCCAAAAATACTCATCTTACCAACCCCATTAGTTAACAGCTCTTTGCAGTTTTACATGTATGCTTTGGACAAACAGTCCAGGCATGGAAACAGAAAGAAAAAAAAACAAAGTCAAAATGAAAACCTCAAATATCAGCTCACTTCAGAAATGTTCGGTTTTAGGAATGCATGTATATATATATATATATATATACACACACACACATACATATATATACATATATATATATATACACACACAAACATGAAAATAATATAGGCTTGGAAGAGAAAATAATATAGACTTAAAGATCAACTCATTCCACCCCCCTACCATGGGCAGGGGTACCTTCCACTAGACCAGGTTGCTCAGAGCCCCATCCAACCTTGCTTGGAACTCTCCTTCAGCATTAATGCCAACAGATACTCTCCACGCCAGCATATCTAATCAGTCTACATGCGCCTGGCAAAATATTTCTGCAAGACTCACAGCAGTCTGTGCCTCTTCACTGGGTCTCAAATACAGTCTTTTCTTGCACAGATCCTGAAAATCCTTTGAGTGGAGCTGCCATGCTCCTACAATTGGTGTGCACTTCTTAAATACACGGTGTGAAACATTTGTCTCAATTTTCTGATCAGCAGTTTTGCTGAGTCGTGGAAAAGCAATTTAACATCAATGTCTTAATTATATACTAGGCCCCACATATTTTAAAWTATTTGCAATGCCTCATTTACTGCAAAAGTTATGAGAAAAGGCATAAGGATCCATTCAACAGAGTGAATCCACCTTTGGACTTCTGTTTTACTAACACTCAGGTTATTAAACTAAGGCTTGCCATAGTAGTTAAGTGTTACATTGCTGTTGCACAAATTGGCTCTTTCAGTGGCTTACAGATTCTATTACCAGAACMGCAAAGAAATCCATAATCTGCAATGCCTGTACATCAAAAAACAATCTATAGCTAAGCACAGATGAACTTATGGGACATTTGGAAGATATACTTTATTCTCCCTTCTTTTGACAAAAAAAAAATCTAAAAGGAGAATCTGCAGTTAAAAAATAACCCTAGTCCATAACCCCATACACAACATTGAAAAAGGCTGAAATCACCCTTAAAGATAAACATTTGACAGCACATGGTCTAAAAAGCCAATGTCATACACTGATTAGAAATAGTTAGAATTATAATACTCCRGACACGAGTCCACCAACCTAATTCAATGCTAATTCTCCAAAAGCAAACAAAACCCCACTAACAATGTTAAGAAATTTCTATTAACAGTATTTGGAAGAAAAGGAAAGCTGAGGTGTTTCTGAGACATGCGAGAGACTTAAGTCAGAGGACAAATACAAGTGAATTGTGTCAGCTAACAAAGGGTAACAAAATTAGTAGCAAGAAATGCTTGTTGTACCATACACAACCCAATTAAAAACCCTTCCTCAGGTCACAATWGGGCTGATTCTTCCTCTTCAGGACTGACATTTACCACAAAACTAGCACTTTCTCTATCCTAATTAACGAAATTGGGCACAAGAGAGGGTTGAGATGGGAGCAGCAGGGACCATGCCAATGTGCAAGGATAAAGGCTTAGGAGGTGTTTGGAGGAGGGATCAGACCACACATTCCTGTGATGGCTGTTTGCACCTTCAGCTATCCAGGGCTGCAAGGAATTTCCTGCATCATGCACTTGGAGGGAGGAAGCAAAACACAGACAGGTCAATCACAGAGCACACCAAACTCCCTCCTTCCAAAGTGAACTGAGCACCAGCGGGTATTCACAAAGGTTATGCTGATTTCAAAATAACACAGGAAACAAAAAATGTGGCTCCACTGTCTGTCTCTAGACACCATCTGTATATCAGAAAGTGACAGACCCAAGTGCTGTTTCAGTCTAGTTTTGATTCTTTCACTATGGCACCCCCTAACACCTTTACAAATATAACCTCATTTAAAAGGAACAGAAATTCTATTAACCCCTTGAGCTGCCTGGGCAGAAGATACTTTTATTGCAGAGTAAGATGCAACCTTCTTGATCAGGCAGCTGTGGTGCATCCTGGGCTACCCATGCAGCTTCCTTCTCCATTCCTCCCTCCAGGATTTCCACAATTATCTTTTTCACTACCTTTCCACTTTGCAATCCCTATCCTAAGGGGAATCACAGAATGGTCTGGGTTGGAAAGGTCCCTAAAGATCATCTAATTCCAACACCCTGCTGTRGACAGGAACATCTTCCACTAGACCAGAGCTGCATCCAACCTTCCAGGGATTTGGCATCCACAACTTCTCAGGGCAACCTGCTCCAGTGCCGCATCACCCTCACAGTAATGAGTTTCTTCCTAATGTCTAACCTCAACCTGCCCACTATCAGTTTTAAGCCATCTATTAAGATGGCAGTAAAGAGCTGCCGTCTATTCTTCCAACTCCCCTGCCCTTACACTATTGCTGTGAAAGGAATGCTTAAAATGGGATGTGATRTTTTACGTAGTGTCATATCATTGAAATAATTCAATAGTTCAAGATTTCTAATAGGTCATACTGAGCAGGTGAATTGTGTATTTAGTTCAGAAAGGCAGTACTGTCAACAACAAGAGCAACAAAAGTTGTAGCAATGGAACTTGAAAGACAAATTCGGACTATATCACAGAATCACAGTCACCACCTCGTCAGCTAGATCATGGCACTGAGTGCCATTTACAGTCATTTCTCAAACCTCTTTAGGRATAGTGTTTCCACCATCTCCCTGGGCAGCTCATTCCAATGTTTAACAATCCTTCCAGTAAAGAAATATTTCCTGATGTCCAGCCTGAACCTACCTTGGCACAGCTTAAGGCTGTGTCCTCTCATCCTGTTGCTGGCTGTTCAGAGGAAGAGACCAACCACGACCTGGTCACACCCTCCTTTCAGGCAGTTGTAAGAACCATTCCTGAGCCTCCTTTTCTCTAAGCTGAACACCCCCAGCTCCCTCAGCTGCTCCTCACATGAGTTATGAGTTGTTTTGTGCTTCTGATAGCATTTTGAATGCATTCCCTCCAAGAGTTTGCCAACAACACATGTTCTCCATGAGACAGTGCAGAAGGACTGTTTATCAAAAAGAGAAACAGCAAAACTGTCATGCAGGAAAAGAATTCTCCCACAACCAAAAGCTAAAGATGCAGAAAGGAAAGGGCCTGTGCACACTTGATTCTGCGTAGAGGACTGCTCCAAAGATACATTTTAATGCCAAAGAACCTTTTTTCTATGCTAGAACCTTGATTTATTTTCACTGCATCAAGTAAGAAAAAAATTAAACTGAAATTAAAGTATTAAAATCTGAATTAAAACAATAATGTGCTTTAAGAAGAGGATGGACAGCTACAGAAAGGTCTGCAGTATCTCTTTTGGCTCCATCARACTTGTCCCATAGGCAGGCTCCAGTTCTTTTTTGACTTATGCACACTCCACAAAAACAATCCCACAGCTACTTAGTTAAATCWATTGAAGGACAGTCACTGTTCGTTTTCCCACTTTCTCATATGCCTCGTTCCACGTGAGAAGTGCTTTTCAGAAACCCTTATTGCACACATTTGTTTGATGTAATGAGTAAGTCTGTTGCTTTCACCACCCTTTTAGGCACAGAATTGACTGAAGGCAAGCCGAGATTTCAAACAGACATCAAGTCAGTCACATCTGAGTTTGAACAAAAGATAATGTGCAAAAAAGTCAAGATAATGATAAAACTCAATTGCAATAGAGGCTGATGCACTGGCATCAGGCTGATTATCCAAGATACATTCCTCTAGGCAAAGAGGAATGGTRAAGACTACATTTTGAAAATTATTACTTGACAGTCTCTCCCCTTCCTCTGAGATTTGGCAGAGGGGAAAAGACTCCAGCRAATACGACTGTCTCCAAGGTAAGGCTTTTGTTCAAAGCTGTGTCAGCTATGACAAGGTCCTCTGAAAGCTTTTCCTCGAGCAAAATTAATCCATTAAGCAACATATCCAACTTCCCTAGGACATGTGCCTGCAGATAAGTCACCTTTCCTATAGTGTGTGTCTGCCAAGAAAGGAGAGCAGGAAATGCTGACAAGAGAGATCAATAACTGTCATTAGAAACATTGACCAAATCTTATTGGAAGGTTGATTTCATTAAGTTTCTCTTGTATGAAACTGTGACTTTGCTAAGCAAGGTGTAATCACCTTTAATAGTAAAGAAACACTGCAAACATAAAATTCTTTTTTTTTTAAATGTGGACAATAATCTAGTGCCAGAGTTTAAGCAAACTATTCCTTGTATAAAATTATTTCAGGGGAAGCGTTCCAAAATCGACATAAAAGCTTAATGCAATTTTACTCTAATTTACTTTTCTTCAATTGTTTTCTCCTCACATACCAGCACTGAAGTGTCACATTTCACTTTTTTGCAGAGTTTTAGCACACCTCAAAATTTATTTCCAGCACACTGCCTAGGATGGAAGAGCATGTTAGGGATGCAGTCAAGAGAGGTGGGGTGAGCACAATAGCCCTGAAAACTGTAATATAGATTCACAGGCGAATGATTAATCTTTTTTTCCCCAGGTGAAAAGTGATGTTATAAATACAAGTCACTGCTTCAATGAGAAAGCTACATCGATTTGTTTATTGCAAAGCAGCATGGTT